GGGGGGGGGTTGCCTTCCTCTGGATCAACAGTGGGTAACTGTGGGCATAGCGTTCTGTGTTAGGTTTTGGTTTTTTTTTCTCATCGCTATAGGTTGAACTAGATGGACTTGTGTCTTTTTTTTTCAACCTGACTATGAATTCCGTACTACTGGAACCCAACCAGTCTTGTGTGGTGCTGGAGAAGGAATTTCCCCTCTGTTTTCCCTCTTTGCTCTACTAACTGTACACATCTAGAATGCTTCACATTTAGTTCAGTGCACTCACTAGTGACAATATAGTATGAATGTGCAGAGGAGAAAGAAAAAAAATGTATGTAAACCCTAAATAATGAACTTCCTTAGTTTGCTACGCTTTGGCAGGTTAAATATACCATTGAATCGAGCAGTGTATGGGCACCTTTAGAAGTGCAAGGAAAAAAATGTTGGTATTGCTAGAAATTCAGAGTGGTCTTGTGCTCTCTGACTGTTAGCTAAGAGAGTCTTTTTAGCCCTCCTAGTTATTATCTTAGGACTAGCAGTAAATTAGTACCTATTAGGGATGTGGTACATAATTACATAATTGAACCTTCACTTCATTTCAATGTAGCTCGTCCAATGCAGCTGTTCATACCTCACAGCTCAATATCACCTGTAGCTTGAACATGACCTATTTTTCAGCGGATTTCGCGTGATTTGGCCCAATAGACTTTAATGGTGTAGCTCAATGTTGCACATTACCAGCGGCATTGTCGCGCTACAGAAGTGTCACTTTTGCACAGAAAGATAAGCAGGAAACAGGAAGAAGAATTATGTCACATCAAGACTGCTTTTGATTGAATACAACCCAATGAGGCAGCTACGAAGTCCATGCCAAAAGTAGCGCGACAATATGTGCACTGTAGCTCAATGTCTCTCAAAGTCGCTCAGCTCAAATCAGCACTGAAAAAGCGTTTTTTTTTTTAATGTAGCTCAGTGTGAATAGGGTTCCCATTCACACTGAGCAATTTGTAGCGCAATTTCCGCTCAAAAATCGCTCAGTGTAGCCCGTCCAATGCATTTCAATGGAGCTGTTCACATCTCACAGCTCGATTTTAACTGTGCTTGTAGCTCAAGCTTGTCACTCGAACATGACCTATTTTTCCAACGGATTTTGTGTGATTTGGCCCCGATAGGCTTTGTTAGACTGCCAAAAGAAGCGCTACATAGTGCGACTAAATGTGCACTGTAGCTCAATGTCGCTCAGCTCAAATCAGCGCTTATTTTGTTGTAGCGTGGGGTATTAGAGCCAGGAGAAGAAGCTGGGGAAGTAGATCTCTGCTTCCTCGTCTTCTTTGGGGTCCCTAGTTGACATTAGGGGTCTGAAAGACCCCTGATGTCTCCATAAAGAGGAACTGTCACAGCCTATCTGCTATTACATAGGGGGCTTGCCCACTATGTGATAGCAATATAGTTAGGGGGGAAAAAAAAAGTTTAAAAAATAAAAATGAAAGGATAAAAAAAAACGGCAAAAAATGTTTTAAAGTCCTCCCGCCCTCCACGTGCAAGCACATAAATACGCGTCGGTGCGCCTACGTGCAAAAACACGTTACATATCGCCGCGAACGTCAGAGTGAGAGCAATAATTCTAGAGCCATTAAAAAGGAGAACTATGGGGTTAAGGCTTTTCCCCATAGTTCTCAGGGACACAAACTAGCGTCCTCCCGCCACCCTAAGCTCAGTATACCGCGAGCTACAGCTCGCGGTATATTGAGACGCCACAGTACACTGCCAGCTACAGCTCGCGGTATACTGAGACGCCGCAGCTGAAGCGGATCCCGACAATTATGTCTGGATCCGCCCAGCTGCGTGAGTGACAGCTAGCTCTGCCTATCTAGAGGTCAGTCAGCGCTGGCGGATCGGAGCGGGGAGGGGGGAATCCAGCCCCTCCCCTGTCACAGCAGAGAGCTGTGACAGGATCGAGAGGTGAGCGAACGCCGGTATGTGTTCGCTCACTTCTCGATCTACTGAGCCGACCTGTGACAGTCTCATTGTCACAGGTCGGCTAGAACTATGAGGTGAGTGAAAAGCACTCACCTCATAGTTCTCCTTTAATCACTGTTGGCTCTAAACTGATGAGCAGTAAGAGCTTTTAAAGTGTCCCCTATGGTAAATTTGGGGTATTGTAGTTTTTGTGGCTTCACCAGCACACGCAATTTTAAGGCTAGACATGTTACACGACGTGATCCCGTCTTTTAGATTGAACCAAAAAAATTGGGTATTATAGTCTGTTTCTGTGCACTAAATTTAATTTTAGTGTACTTTATTCTAAAAATTTTGGTTTGATAAACATTTGCGCAAATACAGTGCAACGTAAAAAATTGCAACTAACATTTTTTTTAATTCTACATAGCCTCTGCTTTCAGAAAATATATAATTGTTTAGGGGTTTGAAGCTGATCAGATTTTATCATGCGTGTGCACATAATAAGAAATTTGTCCGGACAGCAAGTGGTGAAAAGGTTCTGTATGGGGGGAAAAAAACGTACCTTGTCATATTTGGCAACTATATCGGCTCGTTCTTGTGCAGATTTATTGGCCACATCCTCCTCAGAGCCTGGATCTGTGAAAAGGGAGGGAAGAATATTTTACACTAATAGTGACCAACAAAACATTTTAGATATCACAAATAACGCTGGAATTACAATTTCTATAACATTTCATTTATTGTTTTTATTGTTTATCCGATTAATCGAACCTAATAATCGGCTAACTAATCGATTTTGAAAATAATCGTTAGCTGCAGCTCTAGTAAACAGTTACATATCACAGAAATATTTTTTTGTAAATCTGGTCAGATTAGGAAATTATAGAAGGATATTATAGTTTGAAGATTTTTTCATTGGGAAGACGCAGGCACATGAAGCCACCCATCTGTTATATCTTGTTCCCTTTCACTAGAAATCCGCATCAGATTTCTGCTTTCCATGACCATTTCTAGAGCATTTTGCTCTTTTTGACACATTTCCCATTTATTTTACAAAACTACCATTAGTTAAAAGATCACATTGCTTAACTTTATAATGGCTGTAGCGAGGGTTAGGGGTTGAGAATAAACTTTTCGCTGGAATCCATGAGAAATATAAGCAGCCCGCTGGTAGGTTAAACTAGTCAGCATCTACTCAAAATAGAAGCATCAGTTTCGGGTGAACTTAACATTTTACAGGTGAGGTGTTCACAGAGTATACAAAACTATTGTTCAGATGGAACAAGGAATGTGTGAGCAAGTGTCAACCTATTATTCTCAATGCAGTCTGTGGAATTGCTGAATCTACTGCTCTGTGACTCGGGGCAGGAAAAACAAGATTTGTCTCCAAAGTGCCAGCTTTAATTTCCTTTTCTTGAAGTCAGTTACATGGTGCCAAGACAAGAAGAAGCTAAAAGCAGAATAACTATGACCTCCATTTATGCTCCTAATTTATCAGAGGAATTCATTACCTTTTTTTGTATGTGCGCTGTGCCTGGGAAAGCGACTTCCTATGGAATTCTTAGCTTTCACAATGTCTGGACACAAACGGCTGCTGGAGTTCATTGAAGATTTGATTTTGAGCTTTCAGAGCCAGCAAATCTAACTAACTGTAACAGAAATATGTGACCTCAGGTTCTTGTATGAGAAAATGGACATTAAAGCGTCTTGTTCTCAAGGAAATGGGTTTTATGCATGTCTGGAAACACAAAATAATCATAATGGCACTGGACAGCTTCCTACACACACCATCATGAGCATAATCTCAACCACATCCAAAAATAATCTACACTGAGTTGCATTGTGTGGAAAACAGAGCATGCTCTACTTTTTTTCAGCACAGCGTAACTCAACGCGCTGGTGTGAACTGACCTCATTTCATTGTTATGCACTGGGAAAGGCATTGAAAAACGCATTCCAATGCATATGGTGTAAATGGATCCAGAGCTAGCTGACAATAGGAAACAAAAAAGTGCAACATTTTTGCTTTACAAAATTGGTACTTTTGTAAATAGAAAACTGACTACTTTAAAGCACACCTTAATAGAATGGGTGTGTAAACTGGCAATGTAAATGGTGTAACTTAAATATATAACCAAAACTTCCTAGGGAAAAAAAAAAACTAGCACACACTAATATTTTTAGTAAAAAGGTAGTAGCATTTATTTTTTTGTGTGCGACCTTGTTGATGCATTTGCACTCGATTAGTATAAGAGTAACTCTGAATGCCAGGCGTATATGCCACAAGCAGTCTAGACTAATCACCATCTTGTCTTGAATTGTATTGTCTTCCTTATATTGTAAAGTGCTGCGCAAACTATTGGTGCTATATAAATCCTGTATAATAATAATAATAATAATAATAAATAGGCTAAGGCCTCATTCCCACACAACGCAAGAGCAAAATTGTATATTGCGCGTATGCATACATATATATGCGTATGTGCCTGCACTATATGCAATCCCAGAATGCATGATTCATAATAGAAATTTTAATGAACTGTACGCGCGTAAAATACGCATTTTCATTCTGGTTTTGCGCATTTATACGCTACGCAAATATACGGCTCCATACGCAGCTATGTGTATGGAGCCATTTATTTGCATATACTGCATATGGTACAATACGCACGTATATGCGTGGCAGTGTGAATGAGGCCTAATACTCAGTCGTTTTCTCCTGTTTTACCATGAACAGGATTTTACCATGTGCAACATTAGTAGGCAAAACACAGACAAAGAAGAAGCCAAAAAAAAAAAAGATGGTGCTACCATTACTGCAGAGAACAATTCATAAAAGATGTGAAGACGGACCTCACTGAAGATTGCAGTTACGATTAGAGTATTGGTGATTCACAAACCTCTTTCCGCACAGCCAGGAAGATCAATCTGCTTTCTGGTTCGCAGTTGTACAATTTCATAGATCACATAGATTTCATTGATCACGGATGAAGGTGATTATGCAGGGTCAATGTCCACTAAGAAAGCTTGAGATAGAGAGCTTACTATCTCTGAACCAGGAAATGAGCAAGTCACTTGGCTTGCTTTGAAGTTTGATGGAATGCAAGGGCTCATGCCCACAGCTGTATACGGAATTGTGCGTTACCAGACTTCGTATAAACACCGGGATTGGCATTTACAGGTGTACACATTCATAAATACATAAACGCTTCGCAGTTGCGGTACTTGGGTGTCGCAAATACAGGCGCATTTTAAAGTTTTATGAGATGACATGTTTGTGCTGCTTGCAGCTAGCATGATCTTGGCTGACAAGTAGCTTCGTTTACATTTTGTGATAGTACAACACATTTTAGAAGTCTTGGTCCCTGGAATGTGTGTAAGGCAACCAATTTTTTTAAGTCAGCTTAATAAAAATGCATATCTCCCATAAAAAATAAGTAGTAGTAATCTCAAAAACAGAGCATGCCAATTCTTTCCTTAATTAAATTCCTCCAATATGTACTATAACAGAGGATTATGCTCATACAAAGATGCCTTGTACTGTAAACTGTATGGGAGTTTCATTTCTCACAGCCTACGACTTAACCTTCAGTGTGAAGCAAACAAGAGAACGGACCACAAAATCAGTGACCACTGTAGCATATAATAGAAAGTGTGTCAGCATGCCATGTCTCTATGAAACATATAGGGCTTTGCTTAAGGTGCAGCTCTGGGTAGAAAACAGTAAAAGGTGCTACCTCTTTCTATTTATTGCAGACAACCTCAGTTGCTTGCTCTTCACTTCCAACCCTCTCTAGAGCACTGTAGGAGCCAAGGTATCTGCCAAGGTTTCCAGCTATAGTATGCTGTTTCTCACCTCCAGGGTCTTGCTATTTGTTAATGAGAACCCATCATGATTATGGGCCACCAGCAAGTCACAGAATTTGGGGAAAGGAGGGGGGCAGCTCCGATCATTTTAAATTTAATGGAAATCTTACACCAACTGCATGGCTGGAAATTCACCCTAAAACAGATAGCTTTTAAATTCCCAATCTGCACAGTAAAATGATAAACACGCTACAAAACTAATTAAATATATAAAATTGCTTTAGACAAAGGAGGTCTGAATAGCCTATGTTGGGGTTTTTTTTCACACATGTAATGTACAGAAGTATATTTCTCGACAAGCAATTTCACAAATATAATTCCGTAAAGTATTCTGTAAAATGTAATACTTGCCGAGTTGTAATGTACTTCTCATACTAGAGTCACAGAACAGAGGGATACTAAACATACTAGATCATGTTAAATTACATTACAGCATATTGGATAATAAAATTAAATATCCTCATTTATAGGAGCTGGTTCATTACTCAAAGTGGCGTGACTTTTTTTTCAGATACTAATTATCCATTAAAGAAATCTGATGGGAAAGTTTCAGGATTCTCGATGAATTAGTGCCAGACTGCATGGTCTTATATAAGGCAAAACACACAATTTTAGAACACTGATATTACAGGTAAAAAAATAAATTAAAAATCCAGAATTGAATCTTCAGAATGAAATATTCAACACATTTAAGTAGTCAAACAGTCAAAAAAAACAGGAAACCCTGTCCATTATGCATTGAAAGGCTTTCTATTCAGTATTGTAACACAAAAAAAATACGGTAATGACAGAAGCTATCTTGTGAAATATGTAGCACACAAGCTTTCCTGTTAAACATAAAAAGGAAGAATCAAAACAAAAGAAACTACACTAAATGCATGCTTTTACTTCAGATAACCATCATTTATTGAACACCCCATAGTTATGGCTTTTCTAAACATCATTTGAAGAGCAATAAAAATATGCTTTTCAAGAGCAAACTAGCTTTAAAAGCGAAACAATATTTTAAAGGATACTTGCAGTTCCCACAACCACATGGGCACAATCATAGGCACCTAGCTTTAGGTGATATTAAAGCCAAAAGGTTTTTAAGCCATTTTACATGCTGATTAAATGCCTTACAATGAATGCTGCTTCATTAAGTTAAAAAAGTTTTAATTTCTTGCAGAAATCAGCTGGTCAGCTGAGCACTGGCCCTGATGCAGTGTTTTAGGGCGATTCCTTTCCCTTGCAGGGTTCTATGAAGCCACCTTTGTGTGTGCTAGTCAACTGTGTGGGGGTAATTTATCAAAACTGGATCAAATAGAATCTGGAGCAGTTGACCAGGAGCAGGCGGCTCCGGAGCCGTGGGTTGCCGGCCCCTGCCCTATACATACAATAACCGCTCTGAAGGATCTACATTACCCAAATTATATACAATGCCTTTTTCTCAACTCAAATTAAATAGCTAACATACCTATAGGTACCCAGCATGCATATACTGCCTTTAGACGATCCCTTAAGACTCATCTCTTCAAGGAAGCATATCCCACCTCAACCTGACCACTGAACTATCACTTTATCAAACAATTCATCCCCACACAGCTACCTCCTCATGTATCACTTCCCACTTTTAGACTGTAAGCCCTCACGGGCAGGGCCCTCCTTACCATCTTGTCTTGAATTGTATTGTAATTGTAATGTCTTCCTTATATTGCAAAGCGCTGCACAAACTCTTGGCGCTATATAAATACTGTATAATAATAATAATAATAATACCTGCAGT